CACACACACATACACACACACACAGATATATGTATAAAGTATTTTGGTAAATTAAAAAAAGGGAACATAAAGCTAGAACGGGGCATTCTATAAGTAAGAAGTTGCCATTGTTGGCTGTAAGGTTAAACACCACAACATATATCTTATGTATGACCAAACCCATCCTTTCTTGCCTTGAATGTTTTTATATTATTTGTAAAAGGAATATGAGTATTTCTTTGTATTTCAATCAACCATGTGGGTAATAAGTTAATTCTAGATTCACCCAGCACCTATCCAAATTCTATCTAGAATTACTGAAGACTCCTCTCCCTTTTCTGAAATTGTATTAAAAGAGAAAAATGGTTTTAGGAGGTCAAAGGGTAGGAGAAATGCTTAGAAGAGTAGTAGTATTATCCAGCAGGAGAGCAATTTGGAGTCCAAAAGACCTAGGTTGAAGTGCGGCTCGGCCATTTCCTAGTTGTCTTTGTGCAAGTTACCAAATCTTTCTAAACCAGAGCTTCTGAATCTGTAAACTGAGGCAATAACCCCAAAATCTCAGGTTGGGGTGAAGGTCAAATGACATGCTATATAGGAAGAAAACATAGTACTGGATAAGCTAGATTTTTAGTGTGTCTTTTTTCTAACTGTAAGTCGGTACATTTAAGTACAAATTGTAACTTTGGTGGGTCAAATAAATACCAATGCCATACACAATGTTTCATTATTAGTCTGGCTGGAAATCTGGGAGACTAAATGTACTACACGTATTATGCGTTGTATGTTATTTTATGTAGAACAAGGGAGGGTGCAACTGAAAAGCTCTTTGGCTGTTTATGAAGCCTTTCCTCCCTAAAATGATGGTTGAAGTCAGAGCTAGAACAAGATATAAAATCATAAAATGTTTTTTGAGAATTACAACTTAAAACTAGACACTGAACATAACAAATGTTCCGACAAATACTCTCATAATCTGAGTATATTTATCCAGATACAATTTTAATTTGTCTTACACTATTTTTTTTTTTTAAAGACAGGGTCTTGCTATACATAGTTCAGGCCGGCATGGCAATTTTCCTGCCTCAGCCTCTCCAGTGCTGGGATTATAGGAGTGTGCCAGCACGTCTGGCTTGTCTTACACTATTTTTAACTTGTGACCTCTACCTCCCGACAGCAGATATGGAACAATGGGTCTATCAGGAATATATATTGTTTTAAGTCATTCTACAAAAGAGTAGTTTTTTTTTCATCTATTGGCTTAATATATCTTTTGAGGGATTTTCAGAACTGTAATCCAATTTCCTTTAGTCATGAAAATGTTAAATCCTGAACTAGGTGAGTCTGCACTAAGCACTTTAAATATA